GCATATCTGATACCGAATTCCCTTTCTCTATACTAAAACCAAATTTTTATTCTCTAGTTTTAGAAGGAGGGCAAATGGTTGTTCTGTGAAATTCCAGGGAACAGAAAAAGGTCCAATAGGCAGGTTTCATTTAGTATAGGGAGCTGTTTCTAACAATTAGATCCTGGGCCTCAGGAGGTAAGCTAGGTGTTCAACCCGATGCTGGCCACCAAATACTAGAATTGCTGACAGGAAAACACCCAGTGGCTCCTCTGCGGCTGACCTTCTGCAGGCAGTGGGCCGCCCCTCTCCATGAACTCTGGAGATCTGGCAGGAGTGAAAGAAGGCTTGGGTTACTCAGAAAAAGACTCTGACACAAGGGCACTGACCACCAGTGGAGCCCTGTGCTGGGAAATGCCCTGGGGCTGGACTTTGGGTAGCCTAGGTCTAGGTGCTTATGCAAGGGGCAAAGGGAGAAGACAGGATGGGACGAGAAGAGCAGCTAGCTCGGCTTCACCTCCAGATGCGGGGCAAAGTCCAGGAACACTCTAAGAAGGCCGGTAGGTTCTCCAAGGACAGCACTCGATTTAAAAAAAGATCATTTTATTGGGATCTCTTGCAGATATTATAACAATCCATAATTCAATTAGATCGCCATAATTGTACAATTGCTGCCCCATCAGTTTCAAAATATTTTCTTTCTTCTTGAACTCTTTGACATCAGCTCCCCTTATCCCTTTCCTCCCTCGCTACCCCAACAGGAACTCTTATTATTATATATATATTTTTCTTTTTTGCCATATCTTACACCATCCAATGTATTGGCTCACTTACAATTCTGTTATTCATTCCCGTTCCCCTTAAGTTGGGGTTATACAGTCATCATTGCTACTGGTTCTCCCCTACCCCCACCTTTTCCCATACCCTTAAGGAATCATTACTCCCATTACTATTTCTGCAGGATTTATCTATCTTGGATTTCATGCATCAAATGACCTTAATTATACAAATGAACCTACCCAAGTCTAACAAGATTAATGAGGTAAAACTAACACCATAATAGTAAGGGGAGGAGATATTAAAGAACTAGAAGATAATTATGTGTTTCATCAGTGCTATACTGCACCCTGGATATATCATCCCTTCCATGTGGCCCTTCTGTGAGAGACTGGCGTATTATCTTTCAGGTGGGTTTTGGGTCTCCACTTTGTCTATGCTCCTTCACGTCAATTTGATTACTTGTTTTTGAACTTCTGATACCTATTCCCATCAGTACTTCATGATCATACAGGCTGGTGTGCTTCTTCCATGTGGGCTTTATTGCTTCCCTGCTAGTGGCCGCTTGTTTAACTTCAAGCCTTTAAGACCCTAGATGCTATGCCTTTTATTTTTATCATTTTATTGGGGGCTTGTACAACTTTTTTTCTTATTTTTGGTACAATTCTTATCATAATTCCTCCATCCATCCATCCATTGTGTCAAGCACATTTGCACAATGTTGTCACCATCATTCTCAAAACATTTTCTTTCTACTTGAGCCTTGGTATCAGCTTCTCATTTTTCCCCTTCCTTCCCCACTTCCCCCTCATGAACCCTTGATAATTTATAATAATTATTTTTTCATGTCTTGCACTGATTGATGCCTCCCTTCACCCACTTTTCTGTTGTCCACCCCCCTGGGAGGGGGTTATGTAGATCATTGTGATCGGCTCCCCCTATCTCCCATCAACTGCCCCTTCTCCTCCTGGTATGGCTACTCTCAATATTGGTCCTGAGGGGTTTATCTGTCCTGGATTCCCTATATTTCCAGCTCTTATCTGTACCCGTGTACATCCTCTGATCTAACCAGATTTATAAGGTAGGGAGTCATGATAGTAGGGGGAGAAAGCATTAAAGAACTATCAGAAAGGTGTATGTTTCATTGGTGCTATACTGCACCCTAATTGGCTTGTCTCTTTCTTGTGACCCTTCTGTAAGGGGATTTTCAGTTGCCTACAGATGGGCTTTGGGTCTCCACCTGCACTCCCCCCATTCACAATGATATGATGTTTTGTTCTGGATCTTTGATGCCTGATACCTGATCCTATTGACACCTCTTGATCACACAGGCTGGTGTGCGTCTTCCATGTGGGCTTTATTGCTTCTCAGCTAGATGACCTCTTGTTTCTCTTCAAGCCTTTAAGACCCCAGACACTATATCTTTTGATAGCTGGGTACCATCAGCTTTCTTCACCACATTTGCTTATGTACCCACTTTGTCTTCAGCGATCATGTTGGGAAGGTGAGTATCACACAGTGCCACATTATTAGAACAAACTGTTCTTGTACTGAGGTTAGATTTAAGGAGAGCTCCAAAATCCATCAGGACAGTACTAGATTCTTAAATGAAATGCCCAGCCCCAGTTGGCCGACAGCTCACATCTGTGATGAAAGTGCTCTGGGTTGGTTGTTGATGACATTACTTTTGAAGAGCAAGTTTGTCTGCTGCAGTACTGGAAGTAAAGTTGCTGCGGTTCTCCAAAGGAACTTCTCTAGCTGCTGTCTCTCTGCCCCAAACAGTAGCAATATTTCAAAGCTGAGGCCTTTGATGGCACAATCACTCAGTCAGAGGTTCTCCGGCAGGTGTCTCCTAAGAGAAGGAAGCATGGTGGTGAAGAGCCTACCGCTCCTAACTGCCTGGCTTGAAAAAGCAGTTCTGACACTTCCTCACGCTGTGCCCTGGGGCAGATTATGAAACTTCTACACATCTGAGTTTCCTTGTCTGTGAGACACACAGATAATATCCCTAGACCATTTGGGCTCTTGGGAGGATTAAAATAAAATAGTACAAGAAGGGTCCTAGTAGGGATTATATTGCTGCAGTGTGACTGTAGGTTGATTGTAACTCACAGGGACCCCGTGGGACAGAGGGACACTGTGGGCTTCCTAGGTGGGAATCTTTACAGCAGAAGATACCAGGTCTTCTCTCCCACGGAGCCGCTGGTAGGTTTGAACCACGAACCATTCAGTTAGCAGCTGAACTCCTAACCACTGCACCACCAGGGCTCCTTAAAATAGGTGTGCTCATAAGTATAACCAGCCAGCGTTTATATTTCATTTCCTAGTCTAATCATTAGCTTGGGCTTCTCCCAAACTTATGCTATATTTTTGGAGTTCTATTAATACAAAAAAACCCAAAAAATTCCAACTTTCCATTGATAAATGAAAGACATGAAAACTTTTGACATATACACAACATTTTTGTGTGCTGCTAGCCATTGTAATGGTTTCTTTTCCACAGCTGTGGAAGTCACTCGAGTCTGAGCAGATTTGGGCTCGGGCTAGGACAGACTCAGCAAGAGAGGTCCTCTGCATGCACATGACAGTTCTTTCCGGACTGGAGAGGCTTGGGGTTTCCGACTGTTGACCTTGCAGTTAGCAGCCCAATACTTAGCCACGGTGACTCCAGGGCTCCTGGCGTTAAGTAATGGGGCCCCAGATAAGAGAATAACCATAGTCAATATGACCCTAGCTTTCTCTCCAATAAGCGCCAAAACAGTTAACTCTTTCAATGCTGCATTCGTTCCCCAGCTGATGATGGCATTTGCGCAGGGTGGTCATTTGGCTGTGTTGTTGTTGGTTACGCTCCAGTTGACTCCCATTCACAGCGACCCCCACATGTGCAGAGTAATCTGCTCCATAAGGTTTCAAACCTCGGACCTTTGGGAAGAAGATCACCAGGCCTTCCTTCTGAGGTACCTCAAGCATGTTTTGAACGATGAACCTTTCTCTTAGTATCAAGTCCTTAACCATGTGTGCTATGCAGGGACTCTGAATACTGATATAATTCTTTCACACTGTTCAATGAATCTACCTAGTAATATGTCTCCTCTGCATATGCTGCAAATTTTCATCATATACCAGAAGCTAAGCAGAGGCTCATGCTGGAAAACAGGGCCAGCTTTGTACTTGGCAGAAAGCACCCCAGGCCTATGAGGGCCATGAGAACCCTATGGAATCTAGATCATCTAATCGAATTCTGTCTTTCATAGCCTGGACAATTGAGGACCAGGAAGCTAAAGAGACTTGCCCAAGAGTGACCATCAGAGCAAGGCCTAGGACCTAGGTCTTCTGGTTCCCAATACAGAGGTCTATTACACCACCTTTCTTCTTCAATATGGCGAGACTAGTCCCCCAAAACGACCCGAGTGTAAATGCCTTGAATGTACTTTGGCTCTGTGACTTGTGTTTGAACTACAGGACATGATAAAGGTGATAGCGTGTGATTTCCAAGGTTAGGTCACAAGAAACTGTGACTTGTGCTTAAGACTCATGGAACACTTGCTCTGGGGGAATGTAGAAATCTAATGACTTTGGGAACACCATGTGGTGAGGAAGCTGAAGATAGTCATTCAGAGAGACTGAATTGAGAGAGACAGAGACAGAGAAACAGAGAGAGAGACTGAGAGACAGAGACTGACTACGGGGCAGTCCCCAGGGATCCCAGTCATCCCAGGCAAGGCATCAGGCTCCTGTGTGAACAAGTCATCTTAAATGCCCAGCCCAGCATTCAGATAACTGTAGCCTCAGCCACCATCTGACTGTACCCACATGCGAAATCCCAAGAGAGAGCCGCACAGTTGAGTTACAGGAGTGTGAATTAATAATACATTGCTATACAGGCTAAAGAACCGAATAAAACAACCAGAAGCTAATTAGAATGCCTCAACATATTTTCATAAGTTTCCTCTGTGCGTGGTGGATGGGCACCTAAGCGAGAGATGGAGGTTTAGTGAGAGGAAAGGGCTCCGTGTACCTCCAGGGGCCACATAACGCCAGGCATGTTGGAAAGGAGAACCAGGTGCTGGTGCACGTCTGTTCGGAACTTCGGGAAGTGTCAGTCATCTGCCAACTACGCCCGGGTCGGCCAATAGCCGCCGACCGTCGAGGGAGGGCCGAGGCGCCGATTGGAGGAGTCGCGGGGAGGGCGGGGCTTTGGGATGCTGAGTTACAGGTCGGGGAGCGAGGCAGGGGAGCCGCGCAGACGTCAACGAGTCCGCCCTTGAAACCACCGCGGCCATGGCAGTGCTGACGGTCCTTCTGCGCGGTGGCGCCCGCGGGCGCAGCCCCCTGCTGCGGAGCC